AAGGAGCACATATGAAAGAATTATATAATTTTGCAATTAAAAGTACTAAGAGTGCTAACTATTACAAACGATCAGAACTATTACCATCGGTCTGATACCGTTTCGAATCGTGAATTCGCGTGAAAAATTTCGAGTTGTCCTCGAGTTTTTCCATTGTTCAGGGACAAGACAGGGGAAAAGAAACAGAGAACAGAGATCGAGAGAGGACTTGTGTGTAATTCATCCCCTCTCACATAAGCGATAGACGACGTCTTGACGGCTTGGCCGGTGATATATGAAGAAAGAACACGTGTGACCAGGAACTCATTGCCAGTACGTCGCAGCGCAAGTCATTATTGTCAATTCGTGTATTTCGAACTAAGTGTTTTACATCCCGTGTCAAGGGAAATTGCAAGAACAGAAGAGAGCTTCTTCTAGAGGAGAAATGGATCACGGGAATGAAGTCGACGGATTTAATGGGAAAACTAATCGTGTGAGTTTTGTTGATTTTTCTTGACAACGAACAGCGAAAGAACTTTTACTATAGAGAATAATTCTCAAATCTATGAAAAATTGCACGACTCGTGTGTAATTGTAATAAATTTAAAAGCTGTGACACTTCGAATCAATATTTACAAGTAAAAAATGAAGAAGTAAGCTATTTCTTTCGAACAAAATAGCGTTTATAACATCATTGCACGCGATATTTAATTTCTAATGAATGAAATTTATCTCAATCTATTTTCAAAAAATCTCCGCAAAAATATGTTGGAAACTATGTTATTATCTTGCATTTGCAAGATCATAAGTCAATCATATCTGACTTTAGATAATATTAATTGTAATTTTTTTTTTAGAAAATAGAAAATCTCGATCGAATTATAATAAATTACAATGTAAATTAGTTAATCTTAAGATAAATTGACATGGAGATAAATCTTGAAGATATGAACTGTCTTACACGTGGATTCGAATTTTATATCATGATTTTATTCTACAACTCTGCTCATATGAATCCCATTTGTCTGAACCAAATTTTAATCAATACCTTATTAAACGAACTTTTGCATTTTGCATTTTTTCAAAAATATTCCTTTTCTAGTGAAATTATGTCGTCAAGTTTTAAAAGGACTAATTAGTTGAACGAACGAGACAATTTGATATTTATTTCCCTAGAAATTTATGTATCGAGTAAAATTGAATGATGACGCGTTATGTGTTAGTTCCTGTTTGTGACTTCTGATTTCCGATATTCCAACTATTACGAGAAATTCTTCGATCCCCACCGCCGCACCAAGTCACTTTCCATTTCACTTTCTCGTTTGACAGAGCTGAAATCTTTGACAGTCGATTCGAAAACTCACGTGTGGATACTTTCTTTCTCGAGTGGTTTCGAAATTAAAGATCTGGACAATTTGGATCGTATATTTCCAATCGATGTCGTACGACAAATTCTGTCCATCTGAACAAAAAATAAATTAGCCAAATAATTTCAGTGATTCACTGAATATTCAAAAGCAAAGAATTTAATCTAAACTAAGTGTTACTGTGTTGGATCAAAGTTAGTTGTTAAATATCACAATGGGAATATACACGAAGTCACCGTTGGATAATCGAAATGCGCAAAGGAATAATCAGGTAACAAATTCCCTAACAATACATTGACTGTCGATTTAATTATTTCAATTACGACGTCTCAATGATTTTGAATCATTTGATGAAGCAGATTACTGTCTAAATTTAAATTATTAAATTAGAATAATTCTTATTTATTGGAAGCCTCATACTCTTTATATTTCAGGAATAATTTCTTAATCTAGAGCTACATGGTTTTATCTATATAATCTCAGTCTTTTTTTTTTTTTTTTTTTTTTTTTTTTTTT